GCGGCAGAAGCGGAGGGAAGGTGACCGTTTCGTGCGCGGCGGGAATCGGGGCGCCGTGGGGCGGGCGGGGCGGATCACAACGTTCGGCATATGGCGCGATCTCAGAAGCGATGCAAGCTTACACGTGGGCTGCGCCGCGGGGCCGCCGCGTCGCCCGGTCTCAGCCAGAGGCGATGCGCGCCATCCCCCGCCGCGGGCGGCCGCGATTGCCGAGGGCGGCGGCAAAGGCCCCCCGAGAGTGCGCGTCTTCCGAGCACTGGAGGGCCGTCCGCCCCGCGGAGAACGCACCGCCCCCCCCCCCCCCCGCCCCCGGCCGGTGCCCGCCTCCGAACGGACAGTAAGCAGGAGACAGCGCTCGTGCACGGCTCGCTCGCATGTACAGGGTATTATCTGTATGAGTATGATACGAGCTTTGCGCAGCTCGACAATCCTCCCTTGACCTTGACGAGGCCGTCGCACTCCCCTGCCGTCGCACTCCCCTGCCGTCCCCACTTCGCGCCTATCCGGCCACGTGTACACCGCGTCGTCGTGTACGCTGCCCGCCCTGCCGCACACCAGATCACCCCCGTCCGTGATCCAATCCCCCAATTCCCAAACTTTTTTCCATAATCTTGATTTTTCGGATCATTTTTCGTTGCACGTGCCTCCGACGGCGACCGCGTCGACCGCATCCAAGCCCCCTGCTCTCACCATTCGCCCGCGCCACCAAACCGCTCCTCGCCACCCTCTCCGCGCAGCCGCCGCCCCCCAGACTCCACCGCGCCCCCCTTCGTCGCATCCGTCAAACGCCGCACGTCCCGCAATGGTCGCCAAGTCAGGAGCGTAAGTACCCCGCCGCGGCCGCCGCTGCCCCGTCTCCCATGCGCGCTTTGCTTGCCGCGACGCGCCGCGCGCCATCCGCTTGCCTCTCGCCGCACGCGCCAACTAACACCCGTCCCCCCCCCACCCCGCCCGCGCGCCCCCCTCGCAGTCCGCCGGTCCCGGAAAGCGTGCTGAAGAAGCGCCGCGCCACAGAGAAGGTCGCCGGCGAGCGCCTGATCGCCGCCAAGGCCGCGCAGAAGGCCCGCCGCGAGGCGAAGAAGGAGGCCTTCAAGCGCGCGGAGACGTACGCCGCCGAGTATCGCGCGGCCGAGCGCACCGTCATTGACGCCAAGCGTGCCTCGCGTAAGGACGGCAAGTTTTACGTCCCCGACGGCGCCAAGGTCGCCTTCGTCATCAGGATCAGGGGTATCAACGCTATGCCGCCCAAGGAGAAGAAGATCCTCCGCCTCCTCCGCCTCAGGCAGATCCAGAACGGCGTCTTCGTCAAGCTTAACTACGCTACCATTCGCATGATGCAGAGGGTCGAGCCCTACATCACGTACGGATACCCCAACTTGAAGAGCGTCAAGGAGCTCATCTACAAGCGTGGCTTCGGAAAGGTCGGTACCAGGGGCGCCTGGTCCCGTATTCCTCTTTCAGACAACAGGATCATCGAGGAAGCTCTGGGCAAGTACAATATTATCTGTATGGAGGATTTGGTCCATGAGATCTTCACCTGTGGAGAGCACTTCAAGGAGGCCAACAACTTTTTGTGGCCCTTCCAGCTCTCCTCCCCGAAGGGTGGCTACTCCAAGAAGTCAAAGCTCATTCACTTTACCGAGGGCGGCGATGCTGGCAACCGGGAGGACCTTATCAACAGGCTCATTCAGCGCATGAATTAGTTTTTTTACCCAATTCATTCATCCCGTCTCATCTCCCGCTTGCCTACTGTGACGTAAAACACCCACCCGTTTTCGCTACTTCTACTCGCACCTCCCGCTGCGCATCAGGCTACCCGATACCCAATGGCGATCACGTTGACTAGTAATTCCAGGCGCTGAAAAGCAAATACAGTAGAGACAAAACACACAGCTTGAGCAACTGTAATCTCTTTCTTACTTGATCCGCACAAACACAGAAATGCAAAAATGAAAAAAATTGTCAGCGTGACACTCGTGCGCCCTACCCCTTGCCCCTTGCCTACCAACTTGCTCATATCTCATCTCCCGCACCCGTTTCGGGGGCGCATTCGCCACCCTCCTCTTGCCTCTGCAGAGATCTCTTTTAATCGTAATCTCACCATCCCCTACTTTCTAACCGACCGGTCCTGGTTGTAGTCAGGTGCAAAACAGATGCCCATCACTGCACCGCGTTTACGTGCACTCCGGATTCCTCAATGTGAAAGCTTGTAAGACATTCATTGGAGCATGCTGTGTTTCGAAAACTCCCCAACAAACACTGTACGAGGATCCATGTCATTTTGAAGCAAACACATGTATCAAACGCGCAGTGACGCCATGCAGAAGTGTACGTCATTCTAGTCATACCCTATCACTGTGCCCCTTTCTCAGAGATCGTATATTTTTGCCTAGATCCTCCAACCGTTTTCTCGAAATCTGATTACCAACTTGGTCCAAGAGACCATGCTGTCCACTGTACAAGCAATTGATGTGCTTCGCACGGCGCGGTGGCACTTTCTCTCGCCTTGTGCTTTCCGTACTGAGTTTGCTTTTTTTCTTCTCGCGACTCGCGGGGGAGAGGTCAGGACTGTCATGAAAGCTGCTGGGCATTGTTCAAAGGGTCGCTGTGAAAGAAAAGAGAATGAAAGTTATAAAGAAGATGTGAGAGTGGAACTCGTGGTCACTGCAAATCGATTGTGGAGGACGATTGTTCCTTCTGCTCCCCCTCTCTGCATCCGTGACTTGATGTTACTCCTAGATTTACTCCAGGACAAAGGTCCAATAGACACTCGTCTATAGTACATTATTCGATCCATTTTATTCTTGACTTCCGCTTCCTTGACAAGAAAGAAAAAGATACCTCCGCCATCGCACTTTTCTTCTGACTGGGGACAGAAAGGACTTTGTGATAATTGCATGTTCTTCGTGGTCGTTTTTAGATATGTCTGGAAAAGAAGCTTTTCTAAACCACCTTAAAACCGCATGTAAAATAACTTCGAAACCAAAAACCCCACTTTAAAAAAGGAACTATGTACTCAATCTGCATTACATTCTTAATCGTTCTGCGTATTCAAAGCTGCTATCCCTGTGTTCTGCAAGATGTTATTGGCGAAAACAAGTGCGTTAAGGAAATAGTGTCCAAGATAGCCTTTAAAATATTCAATTTAATTTATATATATTCTTGCAAAAAAAGAGCTGTCTTCATATGAGGACATCGCCGTCCTCATATGAGAACAAGACCCGGTCGGATAGATCTATACCGTACTAGAAAACGGTGGCTGGCTGTGAGCAAGTGAAGACAAGTTTCCATTACGTTTAATATATCTTTGGTGTGGAGTCTGCTGTATACGAGAACGACACACATGAAAGCAGATTGGTAATGGATGGATACAACCACTGTAATCTGTAAACGCTATTTCGAAGAAGAAACATGGGAATATATTTACGTAGCATAGTTAGGAACTGCGTTGTGCAAAGATTTAGGGTGTGAAAGTTTCAAACGGGGAAACTTACAAGTCCGTAGTTGGTTTCACCTTCTGCGAGACCTTCAGGGAGACGGCGTTTGTGATTAATTAAGTCGAGTAAGTCGTGCAATCGTCGGACGAATGAAATGCTGCACAGTCAATGAAGTTGCATTGCTTGGGCGAGTCTTTCACACTAGGCGGCAGCGGCATGCATTGCGAGGCACGTTGCTCCATTTCGGGAGGTTTTCTTTTGCGACGGCATTCACAGGTGACACGATGCGCTCTTCGCAAGACGACCACGTCGAGGCTCGCAATGGAAACAAGGAGGCGCAATGATGGCGCAACGATGGCGCAACGATGGCGCAAATGCGCTTGTTCTCAAGGCAAGAACGTGGCAATGTTGGGCCACGTGTGTCACGTACTGTACGTAGGGTTGTCAGTGTTTGCATGACAGCAAGTCATGCCGGAGTCAGGCTGCGTTCAGCTACAGTAGCATACAGTAGCTTCATGGGTGCCGGACGCGCGTCTACAACGTGCCTGTTTGCTTCGTTGCAGGGTAGCATCATGGGTGCCGGACGTGCGTCCACAACGTGCCTGCTTGCTTCGTTGCAAAGTCCAAGCTAGCTTGCAAGGGCGCTTTGGGGAGATGCGGCTTTTTAAAGGACGGAGATTCCACTCGCTTTACCGTAGCTACAACCACAAGCATAGGAATACTGCATCCCTTGCTGCTATGCTCCACCGTTACTCTATTAACTCTGTTGGCTGCGCAGCGCTTGGGGCGTCAAGCGTGGAATATCAGCCTTTTTCGCTGAGTAAAGTTTTGGCCGGCTGGGACAGGATGACATTTATTAAAGGAAAATCGTTAGTGTTACAGTCGCATGCTGGTTAAACATGTTGTTCTAGCTTGCCACTGTTGTCCACCGTGTCACGGAAGGCTGTTTTAAACAAACTTGCTTTTAAAAAGAGCTTCAAGCATGCTCAATATGGTGCTGTTCGTGGAATGTGATACGGTATGAAGGGTAATTTACCTCGCGTCCACAGTGGCATGTCGTTGGCAATGCATGGGGCGATCATAGAGCAGTGCAAAATTGAAAGCTTACACTTGCATTTCTTGTTCATATTTTTAATACAAATGGTAAGCCGGCGTTTATTGGTCAAAAATATTTTGAAAAAACATGGTAAGGAGGATCTCGTAAGAGTCTATCTGTGACGCTTTCCTTACGTAAATTAACTGCTTTCCAATTTCGCAATGCCAAATGCCAATGCCCGCCTTTACGGAAGCGTAAAATTCAGAAATAATTATGTCCTTTCGCATGAGCGAGAAGCCAAAAGGCTGGTTGGTGCCAAGTCCTCCCAGTCGACACGCGCCATACCATCACGAAGAGATGAAGGCTTTCGATGCTTTCAAAATTTGGAGCGCCGTGACATCTTCCGCCCCTCCCATCTCCCCAGCCCCCCCCCGCCCCAACCGTAACCCGGTCGACCACGCCCATCCCCCGCTCCCCAACCGCAATCGCTTCGCGTCTCCCTCCTCACCACCCTTCACATGAGCGGCCAAGCGCACTCGCTGTCGCTTTCGTCCCGCCATCGTCGGACTCAAAAGCACGAGCCTGCGCTCCAGCCCTCGCCGCCCGACCACGACATGACCGACCACGCCGACCTACACGACTCGGACTCCGATCACGACGACAGACCCAATGCCCCTCTGCCCGTCTGGCTCGTCGCGGGCAGCGGCCCGCATCGCGGCGTCCCTGCCCTCCGCGCGGGCCACTCTCTCGTCGCCTTCTCCAACAGGCTCTACTTGTTCGGAGGCTACTGCGAATATCACAGCTACATTTCCGCACATCCCGAGGATAACGACGACTTGGCCAGAGGCATGCGCCCTGGTCTTGGTGTCCATTTCAACTCGCTGCACGAGTTTTCTTACGACACGGGCGAATGGCGCGTCGTCCATCCCGGCTGTCATGATTACGATACACATATCCAGGGCCTACCACGCCCACGTCGTCACGCTTCAATTGTTGTACATGGCAAATCCGTCTTTGTTTATGGAGGCTTCAGCGTTGAAGGCACCGTCATTTCGGATTTGTGGGAGTATAAACTCGAGTCTAACACCTGGCTTCGTCTTCCCACCCCAGCCGCTTCTCCCGCCAACGACCGCTACTACCATCCCCAGGATACGAGCAATAAGAAGCCAGCCGTTCCAGTGGGGCGAGCTGAGCACACTGCTGTCACCTATGGTAACAAGATGGTTGTCTTTGGTGGTTACGACGGAAAGAGGAAACTCAACGATATCTACGTCTTCGATTTTGTTACCCAGCGCTGGTCCCGACCAGCGATTGCTGAGCACAACGCCCCTAGCCGTCGCTGCAAGCATTCCGCTGTTCTATACAAGAAGCGCATGTACATAACTGGCGGCTTTCAGTACAAGGAAGGCGACAATTATGCGCTCACCGATATGCACGCCCTTGACCTTGACACCTTTGTCTGGAGCCCCATTCTCATGGGAAATTCTTGTCCCGATGCTCTGCAGGGCCACAAGGCTGTCGTATGCGGCGATAGCATGTACGTGCTTGGCGGAAAGGTCCGACAACGACTACGTGGCCACCCACCCCATCATTCCAACTTCCCATCGACTATGCAGATGCCGATGCCCTTGAGGGACGGCAACAATCCCCAAAGCATGTCTATGATGGGACCTCCTGCCCAACCTGTAACTATGGATTTGGGTTATGTCGCGCGACCAGGCGCCCCGGATAATCGCAGCTCTGGTTTGAACAATGTTGTTTTTCGTTACATATTCGATGCGAACAAGTGGGAAATTCTTGAAACCAGCGGACATCCGCCGGCGCCACGGCAACTTCATGCTGCCGTCGCCCTGCCGACTGGTGGTGGACGCGGCTCGATTTTTGTCTTCGGTGGTACGGACCGCTCGAAGCAACGCTTCTTCAATGACCTTGCTGAGTTGCGAGGTGTCCGCATCACTTCAGACGCTTTTGCGCCTCCTTGCCAAGCATGCTCATCATACAATATCCTCCTGGACAGCAACATTTTTTCGGATGTCTATTTCGTTGTGGAAGGGCGCACAATTCACGCCCATCGTGCAATCCTTTACGCAAGGTCTGAGTACTTTCGAAACATGTTCGATTCGAGAATGCGAGAATCGATACAAACAGAGATCGTAATTCCGGAGGTGTCGTACGAAGTTTTTCGCGGGGTGTTAGAATATTTGTATGCAGGAAAAGTGAAAGTCACACACGGTAAGCTTGCCCTTGACTTGCTCAAAGCAGCAGATATGTTCCGAATTGAGGGCTTGAGAAATCTCTGTGTCGAAAAAGTCGAGCAAGCCGTTACTGTTGACAATGCCGCTTTCGTCTGTCAAGTCGCAGATACCCACAACGCGCAGCATTTGAAGGTTTTCTGCATCACCTTCATTATGCAGAACTTCAAAGAAATTATCAAGTCGGAATCGTTTCAAACTCTCATGAGACAAGACCCAGGTGGCCTGGGCCACGAAATTCTCGAAGCTTATTCTGAAAATAGTCCATACTCATCCGGCTCGAAAAGAGCGCGCAAGTGATTAGTTTACATGATGCCCACTTACTACGTATATCCTGAGTGCATTTCATCGGCCTAATTTAGCAACTTAATCACTCGCTTACGAGTTGGACGTCGAGTTCGCTTCTTGGGTGCAGTGGTCCTGTATCGCAGTGCAAGATTCCGCGATGTGATGGGCGGGGATATATCGTCGTCTTCTGAGATACATATGACTTCCAACCCTGTGCCGGACACAGTTGGTTGAGTTGTGCGTGACGATTCCTTACGACTGCCCCGAGAACGGCTGCTTTTCCCCCGTCCTTTCTTTCCCTGTACATAAACTAAATCAATATCAGAGTCAGAGTTACTACAGACTTCCTTCTGTCGAGCCGCATCAGTCCGACGACGCTTCTTAGCAACTGGACCATCCTGTCCTTCAAATTCTTCTTTACTCGGTTCCCGAGATGACCTTGTCCCATGGGCTGAGTTCGATTTGCCGGTGCTCTGCCCTCTCTTCCTTTTCGTACTACCCTCGTGCGTAAGGTCCATATGTTCTGAGTGGGTGGAAAGTGTCTCTTCTTCCTGCGTCGATGATAGCGTCGGCTCGAACTCGCCGAGACTTGTTTCCAATTCGCTTTCATCTTCATCGCTGCCAGACATATCCTTCCCTTTGATAGCATCGCGAAGAGCCTGAATAGTAGTGGATTTCTGCCTGCATCCATCAAGAAGGCCCAGCATTGTCTCTGATTCACCCGAGACCGCGGCTCTTGCTTCGCAGTGGATAGACATGAGCGATAGCAGTGCACGAGAGCAGCTCGATGCCAAAGTGCGAGACCTCGGGAATGCTGACCACGCCTTGATGATGTCCACGACCAAATTCTTGTAATTTGGAATGGAGTAGCCGTAGTTTTCCTTCAGCCAGCAATCCGTAATGTTTGCGAATGCGGAAATGGCATGCTCGACGATTTGCGGTAAACCCGCATCCGTGAGTCGCCCGACGATGGTGAGGAGTGAAGGGACCATCGCACATGCTTCCTGAGGGTTATCAGGGGTACAAATGGCGCACTGCCCGACCAGTAGTAGAGTTTTCTTGACGAGTTCATGATGAGCGATGCTGTCGGGATCGTTGAGAAAATGCATAGCAACAACAAGGCCTCTCTGCCGCATGATGCGTGAAACGTTATCGATATGGCCAGCGCACAGAGAAGCCAGGGTGGAAACGGCCTCAAGGCATAGCGGGTTGTCTCGCCAAAGTGTGGTAAGAAGGTCAACAGCGCCGGATTTGCCAACACGGGAGCGCTCCTCTATGCCAATACCGAGCAGGCCAAGGACAGTCGCGATTCGTTCGACAACGGGAAGAAAGACCCTGAAGCCTTTTAGGACGTTGACGGCCCATTCGCAAACGCCTGCGCGGAGAAGCCCTCGTCTTGCTTCGTAGGCAGTTTCGAAAGCAGTTCGGAAAGAGCAGACCTCGACGAGAACATCAGCGACTTGTCGTACGGTATCCAAGGCCTCGGCAATTTCGAGTCCTGAAGCATGAGCCGGTAAAAACGTTGGTACACTGCCAAGTTGTCTCTTGACCACGGTCCACTCCTTCTTTTCCAGCGCGTGGCGAAGCGTATGGATGTTGAATTGAGATGGTTGCGGTACCATGTTAATAAGCGCTAATGTACCTGACAAGGAGCAGTGGTTGTGTGGCTTTTCGCCTATCGGTTTGGGATAGAGAACAAGGTGGAGTGCAAGCAGCAGGTTCTGAAGCGGCAAGGGCTTATGTTGTAGGAGCATGGCCGTCGTTTTCCCGCCAGTCTCGACCGTTGTGGTTCTCAGTTTACCAAACTCGGTGCTGGTTGGTAGTTTCTTGCGTTTATGATATCACAAAAAACTTGTAACTCTTTTATTCGCTTAATTCTCTCAGAACTTTTGAGGGGTCCAATCATCTGCGATTCTGACGTGAAGGACATTTACTAGTTGTCTCCAAAATTTTTAACTCCCGCCAAAATGCTCCCAATCTGTCCCAGTTTCCTGAAACACGGTTTCTTCACACTCTTACCCCCCAAGTCATGAGGGGTGCCGGGTGCAACTCGGAACAGGCTTGTAGCATCGCTGAGAAGTTGCTTTGCTCAACAGTGAAGCCTGATGGGAAAAAGTGACCTTCGCTTCCCGCATTCTGTTACCCATCCATTGAACCCTATGTGTCGTCCTGTGCCTGTACCGCATTGGCGAAAGGAATAAGCTCGTCTTTTCAGGTCGATGATCATGGGAAAGCTATCGTTCCCTGCTCAAAGGATAAATCTTCACATTTCAACCACGGGCACTAACAAAATCGATAAGCAAGGTGTTCAAAAGTTGGATACTTTCTCAAAGCGCTCATTCACCCAGACTCTTTCGTATGTTGCACTTTCGAAATGCATGTACGTTAGGAAACAACCTTTACTATGTCAATAGTTTTCGGTCTTGGCTTCTAGATACTGATATCATGTCTGCATGGCCACAGGTACGAAATCATTACCCGTCACGGTACACGGTCGCCTTGTCGAACAGTTAACTTTTAAAATTTTAGAATCACCTCACGCAGACCTTTCTATATCAGTTCCAATATCGTCCATCAAAGGATGATTCAGCTTATTTGTTCTTTTGAAAATTTCATGACATTTCTCGCCGTTTACGTCTTCCTCCGTTTTACACGTCGAAAAAGCGATGTGAAGTGTCCTCTGCAGTGTCGCAACTTACTATTGCACCTGCGAAACTTTTTTCCCTTGGGCTTCGGTTGTCCACCCTCCTTTTTCGTTCTTATTTGAATCTTGCTGCACTGCCTATCCCTCTCCTCTTTGCACCGTGTTTTGGGGCCTAGTGCACCTAGGGTCCCCCCTATTTTTTTTCTTTGTGCTCACACAAGTTGCTTGCTCCCTCTATGTCCAGCGATGACAGACCAATTTAATGGGGATGATGCTTTGCGATACACAAAGGGGGACTTAAATACGGTTGAGATATCAGGATGGTTGGTCAAAGAAGGAAAGAAGTTCAAGAAGCCAACCCCAAGATTCCTGCGGTTACGCAACTCAGAGCTCAGCAATCACAAAGAGCCGAATGAACAACCGACTTGGACTGCCTCCCTTGTCGATTGTTCTGTAGGACCGGGGCCTAGAAAGAACGAATTGCTGGTGCATTTACCCAAACGGAAAATATCTTTCTTCGCTGAGTCGAACGCGGATTTTGAAAAGTGGATATTTGCCTTGAAGAAAGCAACCTCAGGTAACGTCAAGGTTGAAACTTTCTATGTCTTGGGTGAGGTCATTGGAGACGGCGTCAACGGCGACGTGCTGAAGGGTTGGGACCGGGCAACGAATGAAGCGGTGGCAATTAAGTCCATCCCCTATGAAGGAGACCCGAACGAAGAGCGGGACCCATGTGCGGAAAACGAAATCGAAATTGTCAAGTCTTTAAAACATCCCAGTTTAGTGAAAACATACGACGTTTTCAGAGACATGGAAGAGAAAAAGGTTTACATGGTGATGGAGTTTGTTGCTGGGGGTGAACTGTGGTCGAGGGTTGCACACGAGCGCGGAAACTTGATTACAGAGGGCGATGCCATCAGAGTGACTCGAAACGTTCTTTCTGCTATTGTGTACTTGCACGAACATAACATTGTCCACAGAGATGTGAAGCTCGAAAACGTGTTATGCATCGATCCGGATTTGCAAAAGCCTGTGCAAGTGAAGCTTGCAGATTTTGGGCTCTGCTCGAGGCTCTCCGGGATGGACGAAAGCTTGAAATCTTCGGTGGGGACATTGCAATATTGGGCCCCCGAAATCATAAAAGAACGAAACTACGGGGCAAGTGTGGACTTGTGGGCTTGTGGAGTGTTGGTGTACATCAGCCTTTCTTCGCAGTTTCCATTTTCCGGGGAAGATGAAGAGGAGTACTGTGACAGCGTTTTAAGAGAGGAAGTGGAGTTTCCTGAGGATTTGTGGGGAAACGTGAGTGACGACGCGAAAGAGTTTATTCGAGGTTTGTTGTCGGAAGATCCAACCAAGAGGCTGACAGCTGATGAGGCGTTGAAGCATCGTTGGATTACAGAACATCCGTCTCTCGAGATAGAAGAGGAAGAAGGGAGCAGGGCGCAGAGCGAGGAAGAGGAGGCTTTTGCCGTACCGAAAAGTATCTTTGGAGGGAAGAGAAGGACACCGGCCCAGATTTTAGCAAAGGTTCGATCGTCACATCAAGGGGGTTGATAGAGTTTTGTTGATGGTATGTGTAAATGTATTTTGAAAGCCGCGGTGCCTTTCGACGTTTATGGTAGTGGTTGCATGATTGTGTCCCGCACTCGCATCCCGACAACAGAGAAAATTCTTCTGAAGAAAGGAAGGCAACTGCTACCGTACATAAATCGCTATCCAAATGGGACTATGACACTGAAGGAGAAAGATGAGCCTGTTGCAGAGAGGCTATTGCACGCGCATCCGCAAAGTACAGCTACAGTGAATTAATCTCCCCCCGCATGTAGCCGGGGGCTTCGAGGGACAGTGCCACCGAAGGATATCGTTGATGCAAAAGCAGCTGTTGACACCTTGTCATGCTTCAGACGGCCCTCGAACAAAGTCTTGCTCGCGGTTCCCAGTCCTGGGCCTCTAAGAGTGGACGAAGAACGTGGCTTCGCATAAGGCCTCTTGCAAGGATTCAACAAACTGGGACGTTGACCAAAGCGTTTCAAGAAACCAGGGTTTGTTCAGCGTCCAGTATGATCTGAATGACATCTGGCAGCTTATTACCGAAAAAGTACTTTTATTCTACCAGGTGTCATAGTCTCCGAAACACTTCCCCATCGTGATCCGAGAGATCTTTCTCTGCTTCTCACGTATTTGTAACTCCAAGCATTCTCTCTCTCGTTACACATTTCTCGCAGACAAGAACTTTAATCTCCCCAGCGTTTCCTGGACAAGCAGGCCGTCATTCGGTTTTAATCTCTCCTGAAGTCAGCAGCCTACCCCATCCCGAACTTACACTCTCTCATCAACCATGAACAGCCTTTGCTTCGGCACCGCAGCAACACTATCCAACAACGGCCTATCCTTCCTCCACTCCACTCAAACATGCGCTCGTAAGACTCCATCGAACAACCCTCCCGCAATCTTACGGGCGCGCCGCATGCGTCGGAGCCCAGTGATGGCGACGGCCGAAACTGTAACCAAGCAACTAGGCTCTGATGACTTTCTGGAACGCATCCGGGGTATCAACCGGATAGAGGAGATTTCGGCAGTCTCGGACCGTCTCTCCGTTCTAGTGCCCATCGCAACGGAGGATCCTAACCAGCAGGTGCGCTATGCAGCCATCTCACGAATCTCTAACTTTGACGCAGCCTCACTTTCCGACGACGACGGCCAGCGCGTGCTGGATGCGGCGCGGTTTGTTATGGTCAACGACAAGGAGTCTTCGTGCCAGTCGGCGGCGGCGGACCTCATTGCGGGGCTTAAGTTGAAGGATGGGTTTGATGACCTGGTGGATATGTTTAACCGGACGTCAGATTGGATGCTCAAGTTTAGTATTGCGGCGGGGCTGGGGGAGATGGGGGATCCGAAGGCGTTTGATTTTTTGGTGTCGGTGTTGAATAATGAAGAGGAGCAGGACTTTTTGTTGATTGCCGCCGCGATTGGGGCGCTGGGGGAATTGGGAGATGAGCGCGGAATTCCCGTCGTGGAAAAGTTTTTAACAAACGAAGATTCATCGATTCAGGAAAGGGCCAAGATTGCACATTCAATGCTCACTGCGAGCAAGTGAGTCGGGGCGTGACTCTTTGCTGGTGCGAATAGGGGTAAAGTTTTGAGGGCGGCATGATTAGGCAAATAAAGAAAAGTATTGTATGCGCGTGCATGATTTAATTCACTGCTTTGGCATCAGGCATTCACGCAAGCGCAAGATACATGCTGCGCGCAAAGTCTCACAGCGCTTCAAAGCATTGTATGGCTTGTCGGTACACACGAGGATGAGAGGGAGCGCAAGACGATGTCCTGCGCAGCGGAAGCGGTAGTCAACCACATGGCCTCTTCGCATAATTCCCACCCTCCCCAGTAATTTCCATCCCTTGCTACCTGTTAGGTACTCAAGGCTGGGTTGTGAACCAGTGTTTCAGACCAGAGTTCTTTAAAATAAGTACGTACCGTAGATGTAGGTATAGTGCAGACAAAAAGCTCCACCATGCGATGAAGAAAGTGCTTCGATAATGTGCTAATGGCGAAAAGACTTGATTGCAAAAGTGTCAGAAGAAATTAAATTTTGCCCTTCTCGGGTGTCCCTACCGTATGCCAGGTTCATCCTGTACGTGGGATCCGATTCCACTCCTCCCATCTGCTCTTTACCCCATCCCCGTCGTACCGCCCACCCGCCCACCACCAAGACCTACCCCCGACCCCGACCGCGGCCCCGCCTCCGCCGTTTCTCCAGATGGCGCAAAAGGCTCCGAAGCGTTGGGGTGTCAGTGAGCCAATCTCCATTGCGCAGCCAACGTCCCGCGACCACCGTCTCACCAGCGAACTGGAGGAGTGTCTGCACCACAACAACCTGTACGAAACCAATACCGGCCGCCAGCTGCGCGAACAGGTCCTTGTCGAACTCAACAACATCGTGCAAGCATGGGTGACGAAGGTCTCCGTCTCGCTGGGGATGCCGGAGCACGACGCCAAGAACTGCGGTGCCAGGATTTGTACATTTGGGTCCTACAGGCTGGGTGTTGATGGCCCGGGCGCGGATATTGATACCCTCGTTGTAACCCCCCGCCACATCGATCGTCAGAGACATGTGTTCGGTCAGGTGTCTCCAGAGTCGGCCACGGCCTCGACAAAGGGGCTCATCCTGGTGGACATTCTCCGCGCTACGCCGGAAGCGACAGATGTCGTTGCCGTGCCGGACGCGTACGTCCCCATCGTCAAGTTCGAGTATAGGGGCGTTGAAATTGATTTCCTGTTTGCCGCCTTGGAGCTCAGCCGCATCCCGAAGACATTTGACATTCTGGACGACTCAGTCCTTCGCAACGTCGATGACGCCACGCAGCGCAGCATCAACGGCGTTCGCGTCACAGACGCCGTGTTGCAACTTGTGCCCAACATCACCAATTTCCGGACCGTGCTAAGGGCGATCAAGCTGTGGGCAAAGCGGAGAGCGATCTACTCGAATTCCCTGGGGTTTTTGGGCGGCGTGGCATGGGCTATTTTGACGGCCAGAGTGTGCCAGTTGTATCCCAACGCTTCGGCTTCGTATCTGCTTTCGCGGTTTTTCAAAGTGTACGACAAATGGAACTGGAGCGTGACGTCGCAATCTGCACCAGTTCTGTTGTGCTCGATCTCGCATGGAAACCCTTCGATGGGCTTTAAGGTCTGGAGCCCTCATGCCAATCAGAGGCATTTCATGCCTATCATTACCCCGGCATACCCGAGCATGAATACCACCCACAACGTCTCTGCGTCAACGCTTGCGACCATGAAGATGGAAATAGCACGCGGTTTAACAATTTGTGAAGCCATTGAGAGCAATGCAGATAAAGAAGAAAGCGAAAACGCGAAGAGGGGCATGGAGGCTTGGCAGGACCTATTTGTACCATCAGAATTTTTTGGCAACTTCAAGCGGTATCTTCAGATTGATGTGTATGCAGACGACTCTGAAAGTTACAAGAGATGGAAGGGTATGGTTGAGTCACGGCTGCGGTTCTTGATACACAAGTTCGAAGACTCTGGGTTAGTCAAGTATTTGAGACCGTACCCAGAAGGGTTTTCGGACAACCCGGAGCTACCAGCCGGATGCGGGAAGACGTTTTTCTTTGGCCTCGTCATCCACCCCCCATCGCCCGCGTCGAGAGCGGCAGCGGGAGCCGGAACAAGAATGTCTGTCAACATCACGGTTCCTGTCACCATGTGGAAAGCACAGGTCAATTCATGGGCAGACAAAACACCAGCCATGCATCTTCAAGTCATGGTCATGCGTTCTGCCAACCTTCCGTCTTTTGTGCAGAGATTAATTCCCGCGTCCGGTGTAGCGAAGTCGTCCAAGGGTGTCGGGAAAAAGAAGAAGAGGAAGAGGTCTAAGGGTAAAGAGAATGACGTCGGGGATGCAACTGAGAACGGGGTCAAGGCAAAGAAGCCTCGAAGTGAAAACCAGAAAACTGGTGACGGGGATGACTCAGGGGCTACGGAGGGTGCCCAAGCCACAGAGCCAAAGGGCAGTGATTTGAACGTTGCCGAAGTCGCTCGAGTGGAGAACAAGGGAAGCGAACCAATTACAGAAACTGATGGAGGTGTTGCAGAGGAAAACGGATCGAAGGAAGACCCGGAAGAAACTACAGCAGCTGAGAGGTTGAGGGCAATGGCAGCTGCAAAGGCAGCGCCTGAAAAGGTAGTCAATGATGAGCTCGTATCAGAGATTGCAGCTTCGCACTCGACTACGGGTGAGGTCAAGGCAATAAATGTCAAACTCAGAGCCCATGGGAATCAGTAGAAGTGATCCATCACTCTTGCATATTGCCTCAGCCAGACATGTTCTCGTACGCATGAACGCACGTGCTGTCCACGTTTGACTCCGTGCTTGTCGCTTTGTAATGACCGTGATCACCGTATGTCCCCAACGGAGAGATAGGCACACAGGGGGTGTTGAAAAAGAGTTCTGACACGCTATTTTAAACTGGGCTTCATTTTAATCTTGATATGTTCACCTGCATGTCGGGAGGGGTTCTGATGCCATATTGCGAGTCCTGTTGACATCTAGATGTGTAAACTCAAACTTTTGTGGAGCAGTGCTATCTGTGCGTAAACGATTCTTCATCGGTAACCTTGCACTTTTTCCGAAAATATGCAAGACATTCTTCTTGGGCCGACGGACGCTTCCATCTCCCATAGGACATGTTCGTTCTCATATCGAGATGCTGTTTTCTCCACTGGGCGGTCGTCTCATGACGATCTTCAAACCAACGCAGCAAGAGAACAATGTTCTTCTTGTGGTGAGCTTTATTCAAGAAAGCTGTGACCATTTTCTGAGATATCTCCCTGCATTCCTCCACACTGTATTGAGATTCTACAATTGATGCCGTGCTGTTTTCAAGAGCCGAAATATATGCCAGAAGATGTACAGCAAATTTGTTGAAAATTGTTCTCAACTTGGCTGCAGCCTTCTTTGGCGGATATGCAAGGAAGTCTTGCTTGTGTTTCAGAGTTTTCCTTACTGTTCGTTGAAGTCTTTCGGCTTGTGCGTCAAAAAAGGCTCGAGGCGATGAGTCGGGTAAATCAGCGGACCGCTCTACCCACGGTAGAAAGGTTGCCTGGAGCACTTGCACTAGAGCTGCGAAAAAGTTGTGGTACGGTTCAAACCAAGCGTAAAAAGACTTGATATCGCCCACTTCCAACGTATCTGCTCGCTCATGCAAGCAAAAAAGTATAAAGAAGAAGGTCTTAGTTTCGTAGCGCACCGCATTGGTATAGACTGTTAGCACATCGGCGTACCAGGCTTCGCCGTAGGGCATGGGACGGAAGGACGGGGCAACGAACGCGTCCGGGATGCCATCTCTCACAACGGTTTCGAGGCTTTTCAACTTTGCAAACTGCAGCAACGGATTCAGTGAGGTTCTCTCAGCGAGGTTGGCGAGGTTGGAAGGGCTATTCTGGCGAAAGAAGGGAAGAGCTGTTTTCTTTTTCAGGAGCAGGCCACCCGCTGGGGCTTGGTGTTTCGACGATGCGATTCGGGTCAGCTTTGCCCGAAGAGAATTTTCTGCGTCACCGATTCGCGGGGCCTGAGGTGAGGCGGATGATGAGCAAGATGAGGATTGAGACGTTTCGCGGTCGACAGATGGCATCGATTCAACGACTCGAAGGTGTGCCATGGAAAGGCGCAAGGCGTTGGTTTCGGGCAAACAGAAGAGCAAGCTCTCTGAGCCGGATGCGTTCTCGTTTACATATGTTTACGAAATGTGTCGCTCCACCAATTTGCATTCTGAAGTGACATTGGACAGTTACGTCGAGGAGGATTTTGGACGAGGAAAATTGTCTTTCTTTTCGTACAGAGTCGTTATCTGTTGCCTAGGGCGGTGCATTTCATCCTCGCCATCGCTGCCACGAAATTTCTGTAACTCTGGATACCGGATGCCTTGGACAGCACGCACACATTAAGCAAAAGGGCTGGCGGAATGAATACAGTACCACTCAATGGCGCGCTGCAAGGGCTTCTTCCTTAATTGATAATCTGTATCATAAAGACGCGGCGAAAGAGGAGTAAGCGACGATATCTTTGGCAAGCCGTTTACGTTGCTTTTGTTCAGTTTCTCTAATCTCTATTCAGGGAGAACTGACAAAGAGCTGAGGGAAGTTTGGAAAGTATAGAGCCGCATTCAACACCACTGCGGCACTCTCTAGAGCCCTTCTGGTGTACGGCAGTTGTTACCTTGAAGATTCAGGATGTGAAGATGGTGAGGCCATGCGGTGTCGTACCAGTGCATTTCACTGGGCCCGCGCCGTCGCATCCGCTGGCGTTGTCAGTCCTGTGCACTGTCCAGCTGGACAGGTTGCGTCATCACACTTTTAATGTTCACGGTGAACAGGATTGGATGTTACCAACTCATCCAGTAAGCCCTCTAAAAAAAATTCGCGGCAGATGTCTGGATCCTTCGATCCTGACATATACGCCGCTCTCCTTATGCCCCGGTTGCTGGCATATGATCGGGACCTATGCTTAGCGGAAACCTCGCTCACCTCCGGTTGCCTAGCCCTGGCGGACAACTCGCTCACCTCCGGTTGTTCACGGCACACATGCTTGTATGGTGACATCTTATCCAGTAAACGCTCTGAAGGAGATGAATATTCGTGATCGAGGCCTGGATGCATCCCTCCTGCCGCATTCGCCGCTCTCTTCAGCCCCCGTGTCACGGCAAATGATCGCCTAGCCCCGGCGGAAAACTCGCTCACCTCCGGTTGCCTAGCCCTGCCGGAAAACTCGGTCACTTCCGGTTTTACGTGTGAACAGCATACCTTGACTATGTCATTGGCACGTGGTAGGCGGGGCGCCAGGAACTTTCCATTCATAGGGTCTATCCCCTCATCGAGTTCGAACTCAATCACGACCCGCACGCCTTCGTCACTCGGCGCAGCCATATGGGGGGGGGTATATGCCAGAAGCGTCGACGGTCCAAGTCTGTGACGCCAGGGACATCTCCGCTCCTGCAACTGCAACACCAGGGAACATTACCCCCTCCCTCAAGTGATCGGCCCCTTGCTTCCTACCCAGGACCGAATCACACAATGCCACGTCCATCAGAGCTATTCCGTCTCTGGGGCTGGCGTTTGGGGAGTAGAGGTACGAGTACCCGCAATCCCTGGGTTTTTGCCATTTCTGGGCTACGCACATATAGTTCAGGCGACGCTTGAACTTCGCATCTGGTCCAAACATCGGCAAATCAGTGGAGTCCTGGAAAGACCCACTGATCAGCTTGCAAACCAGGTTTGATTTCACTTCCGCCGTACACTCTGCCAGTATCGGGGAAGGTTCAATCCAGTAGGGGATGTATATCCCGTCGTGGTCCAGATGCCTATTTGCAGCCTCAGCAAACAAATCCTCTTGAGCACTGTCGAACCATAAGATGACGTTTACTGCCGCCCCACCGCTGAGGTTGTGGCCCGAGCAGATCTTCTTGACCCAAACTTCTATGAGGGGCCTTATCTGCATAGACAGGTGATCATAATGATTCTTCCAGCTAGAACCGTTAGGGCGGTAACTCACCCACGGGATATCGCTGTCTACACCGACGCCGGGGTCGCTCACTGCAAACATTGCAGCGCTTGTGAGGAGCATCGTATCGACACAGCCAACGTACCCTTCGCGGTTGGACCTCCTCCCCGCTGGCATAGGCAGTTGGACGCAGCATTGTGGGGAACCAAGGATAATGCCGTTAGGCGCGGGGAGCTTAATGGCCCTCATTACGTCACAAAGGTAACCACCCTCATCGGTATGCGCCAAGACTGAAGACACGTTGTGTAGACCTATGAGGAAGGCTGTCAAATGCGCGCGCCCCGAGCCGGATAGTTCCGCAGAGTCAATAATTAGCTTGACCGCTCGGAGTGTCGCTTCCAGAGCAGCCCCACCATGAGGGACAGACCCTCTCCAGCAGTTGCTGCTGACATATACACTGTCGCTGTATACGTCCACCCCGCATCCTAGGGCGGCATAAAGGATAATGCCTAACAGCCGCTCGTTCTCGTCAAGACCCCGTTTCATGGCTATATAGACTCCAGGGCTCTCGAAGTGGTAATCCGACGATTCCAACTCACGTACTCTGAGATTCGCCCCTCCCAGTAGCCAGGAAGTTTCGACTTCTCCGAGGCCGGAAGTGCTTTTAGCCAGGAACTGGCCCAAGCGGCGGCACACTGCGGTGAGGTCAAACGTCCGCACTATGGGGAGGTAGCGAATCGGCCTTCTCGTGTGCGAGAAAAGTACATCTTTATGCGCGGCGGTGTACCTGCCACAGTGGCTCACATTCGCTGTCGGCGTCCCCCTGTCAAACGTATTGGCCCTGCTGGCGACCGTTTCCACGCGGTACTTCACTGTGGATCTACCCCTGGTCGGTAAGATCAATCCCCGTAGCCCGAGCAATAAATGTAGCACTATAAGACCTTACGACCGTGCGGTTCAATCCTTCTCCGGTGGCAACGCCTGCAGCAGACTGCACAAGACACGCGCTGAAGGCGCTCTTGGCGCTCGCGTTAACGTCCATTTTCATCGGCAATTTCTAACGCAGAAGACTGCCCCTCCACAAGAGCATCATCTTGCTCGTGTTCGGGGGTGTTGGTGTTGATATACTTTCCGGCTCGTTCCTCTCTTTTTTTTCTTTCTCTCCCTCTTCAACACGTGGAGCCTCCCCTTTCATCGCCGCCTGTGATGCCAAGATCAGACCGATACCTGCGACCCACGTAGATGGGGGAGGCGACGGGGCCTGCGACCCACGTAGGTGGGCGAGGCGACGGCGTCTTCATGTTGTTGTGGTCGCGGTGGGAGAATTAGAGGGTTAGTTGCTGGTACAGTAGTAATCGAGCGTGGCGCCCGCAGTAGCGGGAGATGCTTGCGGTCTCGCGAGAGGACGGACATGGAAAGTGAAGTTGGAGGGTGAATTGGTGATTTGGGTGCGTTCGCGCTGGGAGCGGTTGGTGGATAGCAAGATACGCCGGAGGATGCGTGTTGTGGAACGCTCGGATCATTTGTAGCCGAATTTGTTTGGTCGCGATCTCCTGATCGCCTCCGAGTTTCTCCCCAAATTCTATGTCACCGACAGTTGTGAAATGTATTTGCCCGAGGGCAGTGCCCTATCCATATTCATGTATCTTACCGTATCTGGGGGTGGAACCGCACCGTCCGTGGACGCCTGGCCAGAAAGTTGCAGCACTCATTTCTAATTTTCAACTAGAATCGGATTGTAGTTCTGAAATTAAATTGCAAGTACTGTACCCAAGGGTACCCAAGGGTACAGTGCATGAAAACCCGGAGAACCCGGCCACAGGCATGCTGTCCTTGTATTGTTTACAGTGAACAACAGGATTGGATGTTTCCAACCCCGAGTAATCGACTGGTTGGCATTGGAGGCGTTTCCTGAGCCAGGCGGGCATTTGTCCCATGCAGGGAGATACAGTATACCCAAGTATAAACTTGTGCTCAACACTCGGACTTTGCAAAATATGCCAACCAGTGAGGGAATAGACAGGTAGCCGGCCAGCTAATGCAACAGCTTCAGCTACAGTAATGAATGGCACCAGCTTTTTGAAGGCATCAAGTGCGAGAAGACTGCTGGAAGCTTGAGCGTGGCAACAAGTCAAGGACAGTCCAGGCGCAGTGCATGGCATGCATGGCGATATCTTTCTTTCTCACCAGCACGATTCCAATCCATACTCTCGTGATTGCATGTCATACAGGCGGACGTTGTCAACCAACGCTGATTCGCATGTCATCGCGCAAAACCAGTCCATTGGCGGGCACTCCAGATGGCGGCACCACGTTTAACATATCACATGTGCACGATGAAATGATAGGCACGGTAAGCATCTGAAAATGCCTGACTTGACTGGCGCTTGACTATGTACGATTTGTGACCTTTGCGCATCTACGCTGTTACTGTACATGGGGAACGCAAGAAGAGAAGACGTTTATCCAAATAACCGTGCCAACCCCCTTCACAACCTGAAACCCTGATAAGCCTGCAAGCACAAGAGGCGCCATAGACAAAGCGCAAACGCACCCCCTTGTCGTTTTTAATCGCCAACCATTACACCGACTATCTACACCTAGGCAATAATAGCTCTCGCAGGCGGCACCCTACGGGGGTGCACATTCTCCGCCGCATCGCGCGGGAAGCAAGAGCGCTAGTATTCAAAACGGGCGAGCGGGTCCGCGGACCTCTCAAGCCTCGCGTTCACCAGCGGGCGCTCCCCCAAAAAAAAACGCGCGCGCGCGGGTCACGACGCGGCGGCGGCGGCGACGCCGCGCCGACTCGCGATGTCGTCGACGAAGACCTTGACGAAGACGTGCATGTACACGCGTCCGTTCTGCGCGTGGTCGGCCTTGATAAAGTAGAAGAGGAGGTCCTCCGCGGAGAGGGCGTTGCCGATGACGCTC